CCACCGGCGAACACATTTTAGTTTAGCGCATCTCCATTAAATCGGACCAACTAAACCGATCCAAAAGTTTTTATTTCGAATTAAAATACATTTAAGTGGCGGTTACTTTGACCATAAATCGAAAGGCGGCGCGCAGACTGCTATGTTCTCGAGAAATTCAAATTAAAATCTCCCGTTCTCCTTTTTATTTTCTTTCACTTGGATATTTTCATTGCTAGGGTTTATCTAGATTTATATACTCTACGTCTGTACACTTTAAACGAGATTAAATTTTAATTTGCTTTTAGTTCTATTTATTGGTATTTTAGTATACGAAGGTTGTTATCGAGGATTGGAAAAATATAGGCACTTGTAGGTTGATTAAGAAAGGATTATTCTCAAGAACAACAAGGAAATGCATGCTAAAGGAAATATGTACACTATTAGTACGCAAAATCACAGAATATAAATTACTCTATATTCTGTGGTAAACTCACACTGATTTGTAGTCGGACATGTTTGGGATTTCGCGATTGTGCGAAATAAACTCTAACCAAAAATATTCATCCTAAACATGCTGAGCGACTTTTTCAGTAAATATTATGTAATTAATGCGTTATCAATTATTTAAGTAATTGACATAAGTTAAGGACGTACTATCTGTGATATAAATAGCATGTAAACAAAAAAAAATTATCGTATATTTTAAACCCGGTATGTTTGGAGTGATACGATTTTTGGCGATTTCCGTTTCCTTTGGCGGTGACTTCCTTGACCAAGTTTTCCAAAACTTAGTCCAGTCCTGCGGTTGCGGAAAGGTATGCTATATTTACCCGTACTGGTGGCAGTTTTCCCTTTAACTGTTGCGACGTGCTGTGATTGAACCGTAATAAAGAGCGTATGTAGCTTCTGTCTTCCGCTTCCGGGCGGACCAGATTTCTTGTTCGCAGTTTCCAGCATTTTCGTCGCACCAATGGGAATTTGAGTTGGTTTCGTCTATAAAGGGATCTGACATGGGCATCCATTACGATTAGTGTGGCCAAATGCCTTTTTGGAGGAATTATTAGGGGATGTTTTGCTTCTATCGACATGGGGGGATGCATTCGTTAATCTGTCCCCTAGTCATTGCATTCAGGAAGGGACAAACAAACCCTTAACCTCAGACACTCGTTGGCTCGTAGATATACGAAAGTACATCGAAACAGGTATCTTTCTCTCGTGAATCTTTCACTTGCAGACCGCTACTTCGCCCAGAGCTGGGAATAAAATTTCAACATTTATTGGAACGTTTATCATCCAGTTCAGCCCGTGTGTTCTGGATAAGTTTCATGGGCCGATGAAATCTCATTTGCTAGCTACGGAAGTCTGTGTGCCTGTAACCCAGGCTGGGTAAGGAGGGTATTTCCTGGGAACCTGACCCTCTAGGTATCGTGTCTAATGGGCGTGCATTTGTTTCCATCGTTGTTCCGTTAGCCGTTAAAATCGTTGCGCCTTGGCTGGCCTCCATTTGGGATGTTGCCTTGTTCGGACTCACCGGAGCTGCCGTTGACAGGACGACAGGCGCTTGTAGAACTTTGTAACGATTTATTTTTAGCGCATTTTTTAAGAATTAAAAAAAATGTGCTATTTTTTGCGTTTTGTCCGTCCGGACTCACTTTCGATCGTTTCGAACTACTTCTAGGGGAATGGTCCTAGAGTCCTGGAATTTTTTGCAGTTGGTAGCCTATGCCTCGAAGGTGTGCCAGACGGCCATCAAATTTCTCTGTCTAAAAGCCCCCCCCCACGAATTATTTCCTGAGCTGCTGTTTTTGAAAGTAAAACGTGCATAACTTTTACATACGACATTCAATTGGTCTCAGATTTGGCATACGCATGCCTTTAGTGGTGCCAAGTTAAACTTTAGAAAATGGGAGGGGGGGAACACATGTTCTACCCTTCATGGTTTCTAATAAATTGGTTTGTACAAATTATAACTCTCCCGTGCGACTCGAGATCACTGAGCGACGGGACCTGGGGGGCGAGGGGGGGTTAAAAATTAATTAATATTATCTCTTATTGAACCGTTTTCTACCAACTACTGCCCTTCCTTCTATGGGGGGGTGGGGGGGAGTGGAACTAGTTTTATCCTTCATTTCTACCAACCATAGCCCTCCTCCTCGACCTCTTATCGTGATCGGATATATTCCCTTATACCTCAAAAACGGATTGTCGGAAGAGGGTACTCACAAAGGGCGATTGAGAAATATATCTATTGGTGATGTCAAAACAAAAACTATTTCGGTTAAAAAAAATGCGCTTTATCTGCACAAGAGTTGTGCACAATTTATACTTGTTTCCATTGCGAAGCATTATTATTGTCTACAGTTTACTATACTTGTCAAAGAACCCCCGTAACATTTGAAGCGATTTCTTTTTTAGCTTGACGTCGGTGAGGGTGTGTGTGTATGTGGTTCGTTTTTTGTGACTACGATAACTAAAAAACCCCTGAACAGATTTGGACGAAGTTTGGGGTGCATATAGGGTGGTATGGGGAATCGAAAACGTCTTATTTTG